GTGTTCCATAATCAGTACAAGTCTTCGAAAGGCTTGGAATAATTGAACATTTGATAGTCCATGTAATAAAAGTCATAAGTCCTTTGCCTTTCCAGTGGAGTCAATTGTGCAAAATATTGCTGCGTGATTCTACTAGTGGTCCTTTCCTCGTTTGAATGCCGGTCTTTAAATCGGGGAAATGTCAAATTTTGGGGGGCCCCTATAAGGTGCAGGAGAAAATTAGCGTCTTCTTCCATGCTCTCAAATTTCCCAATGAAGTCGTAATCTATCAAGCACGGACTGCAAAGTCTACTCACGTGGTCCCAGTGAATGTCCATCCCAACTGGCCGATGGACATCCAACAGATACTGAATGAACTCTTTAAATTGTACTCCGGAGCCTGTCCTTAAAGCGTCTCTGGTGGCGTTCCGCCTATACTTTGAAATGATGGCTTTGCCAAAAACGGGGTGGTAGTAGTTATTGGCATGCTCGAACTTGTCCCGGAAAGCGGACACCAACCTTTCGAAGGGCTCTCGTACGAAGATCATCTTCTTGTAGGTATTGAGCCGGTTGAATATCCCTTTGCGGTCAAAACTGTCCAGCCTCTTTAAGTAGTTTCCGTAGTGGACGGTGTTGTGTTGGATATCCTTGGTGGAAGTGGCCAGGCCGTTGAGGACCATCAGAACCCGCTTCCAGTTGGAGCAACCGGCCTTTGGGACCTCGCAATAAAGAATCTTGTACTTGTCCTCCACAAAGATTCTGGAAACATGATAAGGGGTGATAATCCTCCGGCTGCCACTTTTATACTTTAGGCAGATGTCCTGCATCAGCTTTTTCCGCTGCCTTTGAACCTCGTAGAGCTTTTTCCAGTTGCTGTTCCTGTCGTCCTCCTCTAACCTCATAAGATCCACAGCCGAGCTGTTGATGGGCATCAAGATTGGAGTCTCTTTCAACAGAAAATGCTTCCGCTTCTTCAAAAGTTTTCTCTCATTGTATTTTTTATTGTCTTGCCTGAGAAATATTGGCTTCTTCTGCCTCCGGTTAGTGTTGTGTAAACTAGCCGAGTACTGATAAGGAGGAAATGTCGGTACATCTTGGTTTATGTTCAGGAGCTGTTTGGCGGCGGCGGCTTCTATTGAAGTTCCATACTGAATGTTAGACGTGCAGTCCTGTGAATAGAAGAATAGGGAATTTATTCAGAATTCAGCAAACACAAAGCGTACAAGATACAGTGAAAGGAACACAGCTCGTTGTGTCTGACAAATCCACACACTGTTTCAATCGAAGCGTGAAGAGTTTTATTTTGCTTATTCATGATACCGTCCAAATAAGTATCTTTTTTTTTTTCACCGAACCAGACAGTTGTAGATAAAGCAAAATGAATTTGTTCCATATGTACCACACCACGCTCTGTCAGTCAACATACTCTGCAAGAATATAAAAAAAGTTTAAAAGGAAATCTAAAATCTTTTAAAAGTTTTTAATTAAATGATGTGAATATCGTCAGTTTAACGTGTAGCGGTGGTGTATATGATTTATTCTTTTTTTGTATTTTGGTCAGGACTAGAAAAAAATGTCAAATATTTGCTTACTCTAGTCAAGTAATTATGAAAGGCATATTCATATTTTGCGTTCTCTTTTTGAACCAGCAGGTGGCAGCAGCAGCTTTAGTCTCCTTTTCACATTTTACAGACTCGGTTTTCTTCTTTGATGTAAAATGCCATTTGCTTACTGAACTTAAAGTGACACTAAACTCAGGAGTTGAATCTTAAAATTGCATTTAGGTACCTTGACCTAGGACCACACAGGGACTTGCATACACACATGCACATAAAGTTTGAACTCGATGGACCTGTGTCTTTATTCAACCTCAAATACTATGCAACTATTAACAAAAATGTATCTTATTTGTGTATCACTCGGCTGTAGATCCTCAAATCATCTCTGAATTGGTGCCGACACTATCCTCCTTCTGGGGGGGGGTCTACTTTTGTTCCCTATGGTCCCTGTGTGTGTTGTAAAGTAGTCACCACTCCAAGCTCGCTCCTGGGATGGACTACAATCTCGATACAAATGAGTAAAGTAAACCTGAGATTGTAGTCTACCACAGGAGCGAGCTTGGAGCGGTGACTACAATACAACACACATACAGGGACCATGGGGAACAAAAGTAGCCCCCCCTCCAGAGTGTCGGCAGTGAATGAGATGATCTGTACTTGATTAGCTTCAGTTGACCCCTAATGTCTCCTTAAGGAGAACCTGTCACTACCACTGTGGTATCACATAGGGGGCTTCTCAATCCAATTTGTAATAGCAATAACGTTAAATGAAAAGAAAGTTTAAAAGCATTTAAGTTAAATAAAATCAATACAAACACCCCCCCCCCCGCCACCCCAACACACACGCACTGGGGTGCCTATGTAAGAAAAACAATGATTGCACCACACATTGGCATCTCCACACATGCCGGGGTGAGGGCAACTATTGTATGGCCTTAATTTACTGTTAACTTTGCATGGATGACTTGTAAAGGGTTTTAAAGTGTCAGGTTTTAAAGTGTCACCTATGGACAATTTTGGGTACCGTAGCTTGTCACAGTTTTGCAGGTGTGTGTGCAGTTTTAAGTCTTGACGTGTTTGGTATTTATTTACTCAAAGTAACCTCATCCCCATGAAAGCGTTGCATTGGTTTCAACTGCCACCATTTTATTTTTCAGGGTCTCTGCTTTCAGAAATGGGGGGAAGGGGGGGGGGGTGTTAAGTAATTTTCAGGCCTAAAATGTGAATTTTAACATGTTTGCAAACAACGGCGCTCGCAGCAAAAAGGAGAGCTGACCTTTCTGACCATGTTACATCCATATTTAGAGTGTAACATGGAACACGGTCAGATCATACACATCCCACCAGCATAGGGGGTGTGGCCCGCACCCGGGTGCCACCATTGGAGGGGTGACACCAAAATGACTGACAGTCATTTTGATGTCACCCCCTATGAAAAGTTGGCCACTTGGTCGTGGACGGAGAGCCTGACAGTGTCAGGAGAGGGGACCCGACGGCATCCCCTCCTCTCTCTGCCGGTGTCCATCACCAAGATGGCAGCCGGCATTCGCCAATAAGACCACCGCGCATGCGCGATGACGTCACGGCAGGGTGTCACCCAGTCTCCGCCCCCAGGTGACACCCAGCCTCGGGACGCCCCTGCTTGGGATTTCAGTGCAGCACAGAGAGCACATTGGGACATAGAAGATCACTGGATTTCTGGCAGAATTAACAGATATTATTTGCACTTATTGAACAAATATAACAAAATGATTTCAATTAGATATTTAACAGACCCAAAGAGAGCAAATAAGAATTAATTGTCAGGGTTTACACACACTTTAGTGCTGATCCGTGTAGAAAGGCAAAAACCTTCTCCTGCCTTGTATGAATTTGGGCACTTTAGGTAAAAGCTCTCTCTGGTTTTTGCAGCGGTCCCGTTCGTCTAAACAGCGCCATTAATTACAAATTGTTGTTGCTTTTCCCGCCGCTCCTGAGAGCATCAGCTCCACAACAAAGGCGTGCCGGGGTGACTGTGAAGTGCCCAACTAGAAAGCTCTGAATTGCCGGCAAAACATTTCTCCCGGCAGCCTTGTTAAATTAAGACGCAACTTTCCTCCGTGACCCCGGCTGTCACCCGAAACCAGGAGAGGCTTTTAACGTGCCGCATTTAGCCGGATGTCTGCGGCACCTCTCAAACCGCTTTCTAAGTATCACATCTGAAAAGGATTCACTGACCTGAACAAGTGAAGAGGCAGATCTCAACAACACCGGGGCTCTAACCCGTATAAATTCTCCTTCAGAGAGACGGCGAAGGATTCTCCAGACCGTGGCTGCCGCTATAGTGAAAATGTACCGCGGTGACGCTATGGGGATATTATTTGTATTCAGCATATAATTTTTTTCCCATTTCATTTCTTTTTTTTTATATTTTTCTCCACATCTACCTGCAGGCCAAGCTGTCCAGCAAAAGTGGCAGTAACAGGGTTATGACAAACCATATAGCACTGCCAGAGGTGCATACAGTGCTTAATTTTTTATAAATGCACACGTCTTCAATAGAGAAAAATTGTGCATGTTACTTGTTTTTTGCGATGTCACCCATATTAGTGTTACAGCTAGGGATGCACCGATATATCGGCCGCCGAAACATACCGGCTGAAAATGGCACTTTTGGCATAATGCCGAAAGTGCCACTTTCTGGCCGATACAGAGGTGCATCTGTTCTTTCTCTCCTCCCCGCTGGGCGCTGCTCTGTGTCCCAGAGGGGAGGAGAGAAACTGTCACAGAAGGCCGAGCGCTGCGGGAGGAGAGCGCTGTGAGCGGCCGGCGTCTCTCCTCCCACACCGCCCAGTCTCCTATCACAGATAAGAGGAGAGCAGTGTGGGCAGAGACAGCCAGTGCTGTCACAGGAGGCTGAGCTCTCCTCCCCGCACCGCTTGCTCAGCCTCCTGTGACAGCTGTCAGGATGGAGAGCGGGTACAAGCAGTCAGTGATTGCTGAGTGTTTGTACATAATTGAGGACAGAGTATGTTTACTGCATCCCCAATTATGAATGAATGGGAAGTGATCTACATCACATCTACATCACTTCCTGTTCATTCATAGTTGTGGTTATAGTAAACATACTCTGTCCTCATGTAATGAATGATCAGGAACACTCAGTATAGGGGATTCCTGTTCATTTATAACAAGGGCTGCAGAAAAAGAGATTGACTTTGTGTCCTCAATCTCTTTTTCTACTTTAAAAAGGGAAATATCAGGGGTCTGTTCAGGGGCCCCTAAAAGTAAAGTAAAAAATAAAAATATTACAAAAATAAAAGTTTATACAAAAAATATTTTTTTTTTTTTTTTTAAAGTTAAAATAAAAAACATTTTCGGTTTCGGCCTGACATTTTTTTATTTTATTTTCGGTTTTGAAATTTTAATTTCGGTGCACCTCTAGTTACAGCCTTTAACCCTTTTGCCACCAGTGATGTACGGCACTGGCTGCACGTCCCTGTAAACAGCTCCTCGAAGTTTTTTTATCTGTGTAAAGCTTCTAGAGGCTGGTAAACGGAGCCCCCCACCCAACACCCCTTGTCTTGCTTCCTGGGCTCCTCTGCTCCTTTTGTGGGCCCAGGACCGCCATCATGAGTGTTGACAGGTACCAGGAGGAGAGACCAGTGAAGTCTGTTCGCTTATCTCCTCCCCCACTGAATGAAGCTGGAAGCAATGCTGATTGCATCATTTCCGACTTCTCAGCTGTCATTGGGCAGCTACAGAAGCTGGGGAAGAAGCTGATCGAGCATGATCTGTGTTTGAACAGCTTGTTTGATTTGCATAGGTGACATTAGCGGTCTGATAGACCCCTAATGTCAACTTAAAGAGTACCTGTCACCTCCAATGTGACTGAAAACGAAGACGATTGCGTTACACGTTAGGTATTTCCACGTGCGTCCGAGTGAGAACAATAATTCTAGGGCCATTATTCATGGTTAACTATGAAATGATGACCTGTAGAGGCTTTAAAAGCGTCACCTATGGACAATTTAGGGTACTGTATTTTTTCGCCATTTCACAGGTGCAAGCAATTTTTAATATTGGTGCTGGCACTGTCCTTCCCTCTGGAGGGGGGCTACTTTTGTTCCCCATGGTCCCTGTGTGTGTTGTAAAGTAGTCACCACTCCAAGCTCCCTCCTGTGATGGACTACAACCTCATGTTTAGTTTACTAAGTTGTATTGAGATTACAGTCCATCCGGGGGGGGGGAGCTTGGAGCGGTGACTACTTTACAACACACACAGGATGCATCCATTATAATGAAGCACTACTTCTATGGAAATACACTATACGGCCATATGCTTTTGGAAACTCGATCACCCCATGAGTAAGGGACTCAGACACCCAACATCCCATGAAGTGTCAAGTGCTGAAAGGGTTTTACTGAGACTGCAGCAAAGGCAGGAGACACGGGCCGCTGGAAGGGTGAGTATAATACCTGTTCGGGTGCAGGGACCACTATTAAGATTTTTTTGGGACGATGACAGTGTCACTTTAACAGAAACATAAAATAAATGATACCTCCAAAAGAGAGAGTGGGACTTTCTATTTAAATCTACAGCGGGTATGCAGGTCTAGGGACACAAGAGGGATAAATATACCCTCCAGTATCTGTACTGACCCTTTAAGGCAGGGGTGGGCAACTCCAGTGCTCCAGCTGTGCTTTGACTACAAATACCAACATGCTTCTGCCTCTGGGAGTCATGCCTGTAACTGTCAATCTTGCAATGCCTCATGGAACTTGTAGTTACATAACAGCTGGAGGGTCGGAGTTGGCCACCCTTGTTTTAAGGGGTGAGGGGACACAGTGATACGAGAGGATTCTTGTCCTTCCGCAATGTGTGCTTTCACAAACATCTATAAAGACCTCATTCTAGATCGGGGTAGGCTAACTCCGGCCCTCCAGCTGTGGTGCAACTACAAGTCCCATGAGGCATTGCAAGACACTGACAAGCACACAGGCATAACAGGATTTGTAGTTTCACCACAGCTGGAAGATTCTGTTCAATAACAACGGTTTTACAAAGTGTACACTGTGCAATAAACAGCTTTTATTTTCTAACCTGCGCTAGAGAAATGACCTCCAGAGTCTAATTAGTGTGCAGCCATATTGGATGGGATTTGTATGCAACTCTTTTCCGTTCTGAAATCCCAAACAAACCAGCAGCCTATCCAGCACAGGAGAGGTTAATGGTGGACAAGCATGTATGATGATCGTTGCAAGAGGCACAGTTGTCCACACTTGCCTTGCCTGGCGTACAGTTCAGCACGGAGAAGAGTGTAGGAATTGACATTTGTTGTGACAAAAGATGGCAGGGCTCCAGCTGGGCATAGAGCGAGCTGATGTCTATGAAATCTGTTATCATGCAAATGAAGCCGTTGTGTTGGCATCTGCGCTCCTACGGCCAGACAATCCAACGCCAAGAAACCTCAAGCTGGCTCTTAAGAACAATAACAGGGACTAATCGCAGCCAGACAGGGCTAGCAACATGCAAACAGAATGGATAGGCTGCAGGAAGAGCGGTCGGCCGAGCAGTGTAGACAGGCAAGGGTCATCGTACAGGGACATTATATCGTGGGCCATGCCTGGATTGTTCACTGCTAATCCTGGCTTCACTCCAGAGTGAGTCACTGGCATGGAACACGCATACTGCTGGCAGTCATCTCCCATAGCCCCCTTGTTTTCCTAGATAACCATTTATAATATATTCATTTTAAAACTCCAAACCAATTTTGCATTGCAGAAAGTGAATGTGAACCCAGCCAACAACATATCATATATAATGCTATTTCCAATATTTTAAAATCTGTAGCTTTCATAAAAAATAAAAAAAAAATCCCTGGCGATCCTGCAATGGAGATCCTTGTTTAGACACTTCCTGTTTTAGGGTGGCAACTGCCAATTGTGTTCCTGCATTGTCACCCTGTCACATGGGCTTCCAATGGAGACTACAGGTGGCCTTTCCAACACACATTACACAACGGTTAAGTGTTGTCACCAACAGGAAACCTGCCCTGAAAAATGCCATGCAGCCATCGCTGGAGTGTATGTAGAGAAGGAAGATCACCTGAGGTGACACAGATTGGATGTTCTGCTGTATTTATTTGCATGTGTTTTCTGTATCAGTTTCAGAGTCGAAGGCTCCTTCTGACTTTCGCATCCAATTAAAAATTTTTTTTTAACAAATGGAAAGGTTCATACAAAAGCCCATCAGAACCTTGTTACTATGGAGGTAACAAGGTTCTGATGGGTTATACCTTGAAATAATATACAGGTCTCAGGGAAACCCTTGCAAAAAATGATTACATTTATAGCTTATGGTACATAAATGTGATCAATAAAATCACTTACATTGAAAATCAGTGAAAGCACTTCCCTTTACATAGGGGATCTGCAGGAGAGGTGTTCCCCTACATTGGGTGGTCAGCACGAGAGGTGTCTCCTTACATTGGTTATGGGTAGGAGAGGTGTCCCCTTACATTGGTGGTCGGGGGGTAATTGGAGATGGGTAGGAGAGGTGTAACCACCACTCTAGTAGAGATGCTTCTGGAGTCCATATTAAAAATGAATATGATAATATAACTTGGTCTGCTTACTGACAATTTTGTTTGGAGTTGTTTTCTGATGGTTTTTGGTCAGTGAGCTGCAAATAAAAGCTGTTTATAATGATCTCAATATTGGGGTTGTTTAGCTAACAAAATTATCAAATGGCGATAAAGTTAAAAGTTGCAGCAATTTCTTCCATTTTATTGGCCCGTCTAATTATTTCCGCCAACTCTATAGACGGCGTTTCGGTTAGCCGAGTATAATACATTCTGCACATTATAGACGTTTATACATTACTCTCGTTATGATCCACTTCCAGAACCTTTACTTTTATACCATTTAATAAATCTCTTTTTCATGTGAAACGCAGAGTGAAGAAACCCGCAGTGAGCAAAATGGCCACTAGATGGAGCAATGATTCTTCCACAATTCTTTATCCGGCTTTTCGACAATTTCCAACAAAAAAAACCCCATGAACTTGCAAATTAAAGAGGTTAGTCATTCTTTCTGGAATTTTATACACCTGTGATTATTTTTAAAACTGAGAACGGCAGTTTAAAGAAAAGGTGGAAGCTGTCATGTAAGCCAGAATTTACAATGACTGATACATATATATTGAATTAAAGGGGACAACACCTGATCCTGGATCTCGCTTGCACAGCTTACATTAAAGACAACACATGATCCTGGATCTCGCTTGCACAGCTTACATTGAAGACAACACATGATCCTGGATCTCGCTTGCACAGCTTACATTGAAGACAACACATGATCCTGGATCTCGCTTGCACAGCTTACATTAGAGGGGACAACACATGATCCTGGATCTCGCTTGCACAGCTTACATTAGAGGGGACAACACATGATCCTGGATCTCGCTTGCACAGCTTACATTAAAGGGGACAACACATGATCCTGGATCTCGCTTGCACAGCTTACATTAAAGACAACACATGATCCTGGATCTCGCTTGCACAGCTTACATTGAAGACAACACATGATCCTGGATCTCGCTTGCACAGCTTACATTAGAGGGGACAACACATGATCCTGGATCTCGCTTGCACAGCTTACATTAGAGGGGACAACACATGATCCTGGATCTCGCTTGCACAGCTTACATTAGAGGGGACAACACATGATCCTGGATCTCGCTTGCACAGCTTACATTAGAGACAACACATGATCCTGGATCTCGCTTGCACAGCTTACATTGAAGACAACACATGATCCTGGATCTCGCTTGCACAGCTTACATTAGAGGGGACAACACATGATCCTGGATCTCGCTTGCACAGCTTACAGTAAAGGGGACAACACATGCTCCTGGATCTCGCTTACATTAAAGGGGAGAACACATGCTCCTGGATTTCGCTTACATTAAAGGGGAGAACACCTGATCCCGGATCTCCCTTGCACAGCTCACATTAAAGAGGTCAACACATGCTCCTGGATCTTGCTTCTACAGCTTATATTTAAGACAACACATGCTCCTGGATCTCGCTTGCACAGCTTACATTCAAGAGGACAACACATGCTCCTGGATCTCACTCGCATTAAAGGGGATAACACATGATCCTGGATCTCGCTTCTACAGCTTATATTAAAGAAGACAACACATGCTCCTGGATCTCGCTTGCACAGCTTACAATTGTACATACACGATGTGACGGGTCAGGTTATATTTAAAAGGAGAACATACCTTTTTTGGCTCATGTAATGCAAATTCAAATTTCATCCCTGTAAGAAAAAGAAATGTATTTTAATAACAGTGAGAATAAATCACAACAAAACATTGCTACAGTCTTACAGGAATAGATGGGAAATCTTCCAATGGAGACGCTAGTTCTGGTGACCCCACTGACCACCGGGGATTCAGTCTTACAGGAATAGATGGGAAATCTTCCAATGGAGACGCTAGTTCTGGTGACCCCACTGACCACCGGGGATTCAGTCTTACAGGAATACATGGGAAATCTTCCAATGGGGACTCTAGTTCTGGTGACGCTGCCAACCACCGGGGATTCAGTCTTACAGGAATAGATGGGAAATCTTCCAATGGGGACGCTAGTTCTGGTGACCCCACTGACCACCGGGGATTCAGTCTTATAGGAATAGATGGGAAATCATCCAATGGGGACGCTAGTTCTGGTGACGCTGCCAACCACCAGGGATTCAGTCTTACAGGAATAGATGGGAAATCTTCCAATGGGGACGCTAGTTCTGGTGACCCCACTGACCACCGGGGATTCAGTCTTACAGGAATAGATGGGAAGTCTTCCAATGGGGACGCTATTTCTGGTGACCCCACTGACCACCGGGGATTCAGTCTTATAGGAATAGATGGGAAATCTTCCAATGGGGACGCTAGTTCTGGTGACCCCACTGACCACCGGGGATTCAGTCTTATAGGAATAGATGGGAAATCTTCCAATGGGGACGCTAGTTCTGGTGATGCTGCCAACCACCAGGGATTCAGTCTTACAGGAATAGATGGGAAATCTTCCAATGGGGACACTAGTTCTGGTGACCCCACTGACCACCAGGGATTTCCCTCACTTCCTGTTGTGGCCATTGGAAATCTCACCAATGGGACACAGATGGCAAAAAAATTAAGCTGACGGGTTTTAACTCTCCTTTACTCTATCCAGAACCAAAAAAAAGATTTTGGCTTCAGTTCTACTTTTTCCAGCGCGAGAGTAAGTAATAAAGGCTTGCTAAAACGAAAATTCTATTTGTTTCATTACAAGTGAATATCTGGCAATCCACTGCTGACGGATCAATGTGAAGACTTTATATTCCACTCAGCCAGCCAGGAATAAGAGATTTCAACTGTAAAGATTTTGTGTTTAGTTTTGGATAGAGCAAAGGAAGGGTTAAAACCCATCAGGAGGCTTTATTGCCATCGGGGTCACCTCTGAGGAGATTCACCCTCTCTGTGTGTCCTGATGACCGTTGAGACAGAAATTGATGGGAAATCCTAAACTTTGAGTTGTATGGAACGTATCTGGAAAAATCCCAGCCGGCTTTGTGTTGAAGAGGCGCCCGGCACTAATGCGGCAAAGAGATTAGTCAGGAGTTTTCCCATCTTCAGAAAAAGTTATTTTATTGTATTAAAACACTCAAAAGCAATAAACAATAATACAATAAAGGAGCTTTTTCTGACGATGTGAAATCTCCTGACTAATCTCTTCCACACATTAGCACCAGGCGCCTCTTCAACACAAAGCTGGCTGGCATTTTTCAGATACTTCCCCCCACAGTTTCATCAACAGCTCCATACAAAGTCCACTCAGAGGGACGAAGGTTTGGTTCCCCCAATGCATTGAGAGTGACCACCATCAACGATGAAGACAGACAAATGCTCCACGGGCCTGAGGTCAGGTTGAAGACCATACCATTGGCTTACTGCAACCTATCTAAATGTGAGTAATCTCCATTTTTGTTCCAATAACATATTACAAACTACTTATAAGCGTTAAAACCACACTGGGGTGAATTTATCAAAATTGGGGCAGACAAAATCTGGTGCAGTTGTTTATGGGAACCAATCAGCTTCTCTCTTCAGTTTGTTCAGTTAAGGTATTGAAAATGAAAGAGAGAAGCTGATTGGTTGCCATGCACAGCTGCTCCAGATTTTGTCTGCTCCAGTTTGGATAAATTCCCCCCTCACTGTATTGAGCTCTCTTGTCTTTGTAAAAAAAAAAAAAATAACTTCAAAAACTCTGAGTTGTCACCAGAACAGTTCAGAGAGAATTCCTTCAACTTCCTGTAGTGATGCTGCCAACCACCAGGGATTCAGTCTTACAGGAATAGATGGGAAATCTTCCAATGGGGACACTAGTTCTGGTGACCCCACTGACCACCAGGGATTTCCCTCACTTCCTGTTGTGGCCATTGGAAATCTCACCAATGGGACACAGATGGCAAAAAAATTAAGCTGACGGGTTTTAACTCTCCTTTACTCTATCCAGAACCAAAAAAAAGATTTTGGCTTCAGTTCTACTTTTTCCAGCGCGAGAGTAAGTAATAAAGGCTTGCTAAAACGAAAATTCTATTTGTTTCATTACAAGTGAATATCTGGCAATCCACTGCTGACGGATCAATGTGAAGACTTTATATTCCACTCAGCCAGCCAGGAATAAGAGATTTCAACTGTAAAGATTTTGTGTTTAGTTTTGGATAGAGCAAAGGAAGGGTTAAAACCCATCAGGAGGCTTTATTGCCATCGGGGTCACCTCTGAGGAGATTCACCCTCTCTGTGTGTCCTGATGACCGTTGAGACAGAAATTGATGGGAAATCCTAAACTTTGAGTTGTATGGAACGTATCTGGAAAAATCCCAGCCGGCTTTGTGTTGAAGAGGCGCCCGGCACTAATGCGGCAAAGAGATTAGTCAGGAGTTTTCCCATCTTCAGAAAAAGTTATTTTATTGTATTAAAACACTCAAAAGCAATAAACAATAATACAATAAAGGAGCTTTTTCTGACGATGTGAAATCTCCTGACTAATCTCTTCCACACATTAGCACCAGGCGCCTCTTCAACACAAAGCTGGCTGGCATTTTTCAGATACTTCCCCCCACAGTTTCATCAACAGCTCCATACAAAGTCCACTCAGAGGGACGAAGGTTTGGTTCCCCCAATGCATTGAGAGTGACCACCATCAACGATGAAGACAGACAAATGCTCCACGGGCCTGAGGTCAGGTTGAAGACCATACCATTGGCTTACTGCAACCTATCTAAATGTGAGTAATCTCCATTTTTGTTCCAATAACATATTACAAACTACTTATAAGCGTTAAAACCACACTGGGGTGAATTTATCAAAATTGGGGCAGACAAAATCTGGTGCAGTTGTTTATGGGAACCAATCAGCTTCTCTCTTCAGTTTGTTCAGTTAAGGTATTGAAAATGAAAGAGAGAAGCTGATTGGTTGCCATGCACAGCTGCTCCAGATTTTGTCTGCTCCAGTTTGGATAAATTCCCCCCTCACTGTATTGAGCTCTCTTGTCTTTGTAAAAAAAAAAAAAATAACTTCAAAAACTCTGAGTTGTCACCAGAACAGTTCAGAGAGAATTCCTTCAACTTCCTGTTGTGTCTACAGGACAAGAAGCGGAGGAAAATCTTTAGAATGAGACACAGATGGAAAAAAATAAAATGACGGGTTTTAGGAAGAGAGAAAGAGAGATTGAGAGGAAGAGAGAGAGGGGGAGAGAAAGAGAGAGAGAGAGGGGGGGGAGAGAGAGAGAGAGAGAGAGAGAGAGAGAGAGAGGGTATACAGAGAGAGAGAGAGGGGGGGAGAGTGGGTATACAGAGAGAGAAGGGAGAGAGAGAGAGAAGGGAGGGAGAGAGAGAGAGGGGAGAGAGAGAGAGAGAGAGAGAGAGAAGGGGGGAGAGAGAGAAACGAGAGAGAGAGAGATTGAGAGAGGAGGGGTGTGTTTTTTTAATGCAACTAATCGATTATGACAATAATCGTTAGCCGCAGACCTACATGTGACATGACAGGCAGGTGAACAGCTTTGATTGATCAATTGCGCTATCCCTCTGGTTTACTGCAGGAGTACAAGGGTTGTAGCTGGGGCCCCTAGACCTCCACTGGGCCCTAGGATCCTGCCTAGCTTGCAATCTAAAAGCCAGTTCTTGCACCAATGTTTCCATGTCTTTCTGAGGAATAGATACAGTGTCAGCAGAGGTTGTGTGCAGAAGATATAGAATATGAAAGGTTTTATTCACAGGTTCACAGTCAGAGTTCATCTAGCTATGACACCGGAGCTGTTGGCGACACCGGCAGTACATCGCGCGCATCTCAAATAGAAACCTCGTGTGTTGAAGATGTAGCAGAATAAATTCTAATTCAGATTGCACTCGGGTTCCGTCCTCCCACTGCGATCTCTAAACTCCTGATAGATGGGAATGGGCAGCACACTGCTCACCCCTGCGGTCAGCACATCTTCAGCATCCAGGAGCCGAGACTTTACAAACACGCTATGAAATTCTGCATACTGTTCCCATCAATCCTCCTGACGTGAAGGAGCACTTAGTCATCCGGACTTTTATTTACTGATAAATCTTTTTCTGAAACAGAAAAGCAGGAGGCGAGAGATACAGCGGGAGGCCAATCCGCGACGCTCATAGAGAATGGGCTCTGGAATTCTGGTGACAACTTTCTAAACGGAATCTTAAGGTTGGGGAAGGAGAGAGGACATTGTGTCATCGTGTAAAGAAAAAGAAACAGTATCCCCCCTCTTAGTATTTATATCAAACAGAATAAAAATGGGTACTAATTCGGCCTGGATAACTCAGCAAAGGGGCGACATTGGTTTTACTGAGGTCTGGACTTCAACTAACAAGCAGCCACAATTTTAGGGGAAAAACACCATTATGAATCAATAAAGTTCCGGGCAGATTTAAGAGATACAAATGAATCAACACACTATTAAATGTGTTTTTTAATGCAAACAATGCAAGTACCTGAACTTGATTTGGTGTCAGGCCTTTGCACTCCAATGTACAGTAGAACTCAGACTTGGAAAAGAAGAAGCAGCACAAGGTGCCAATTAACTGTGCTGCAGTATAAGAAGCATGCTAATAGAAGGACAGAGCAGAGTTACAGAGATAGGTTTATGCTTCTACCTTCACTGCCCAGTCACAGATTTGAGAAGGGACAAGATCTGAAATGGTAACCGTGCTGATTGGATGAGGAAGTAGATTAGCAGATAGATGAGCTCATCACTCTGCTGTTCTCCCTTCACTGTCCAGTGACAGGTTAGGGGCGGGTCTATGGGTGCCAAGGCTCAGCAGGATTGGATGACTGCGTGCATCATTAATCCCAGAAGAACGAGGACATCTAGTGGCAGAAATTAAGTACTACAAGAGATGGTTTGAACTGGACTTTATGGGTAAGATTCTAGCTTTTTAAAAAATGTTTTACTTTTGATATATGGAAGGGTTAGACCCAGGGTGCCCCGAGGCCGGGTGTCAACCAGAGAAGATACCCGGTGACTCCCCGCCGTGACGTCAGCCATCTTATTGATACCTGCCGACGGCCATATTGGTGATGGATGCTGGCAGAGAGAGGAGGGGACGTTCACCCTGCGGGATGAGGTATGCCGTCGGGTCCCCTCCTCTCTCCTGAGACTTTTCAAAGGGGGTGACACCAAAATGACTGTCAGTCCTTTTGGTGTTACCTCTCAAATGGCGTCACACGGATGCTGACCGCACTCCCCCGCACACCCCTTGTAACGCCACTGGTTAGACCCTCGGTTTATATATTGCTGTGTGTGTTCTGGCTGGGGCGATCCACTTTCTCTCAGGCTGGTTGCTCAATGATGGCTACACTAAGTGGAAGAGAACTAATTTTGTCCTACAGAAGCTCCTACATGTTTTGTCCCAAGCTGTGATTGGACGGTGAAAGGAGGAGGAGCAGACTAATGAGCTAATTTCTGTGTCACACTGCTTTCTCCTCTCGTCAGCATGCTATTTGTTGGCATATGAGCACTGCAGCACAACTGACTGGCTCCTTGTGCTGCTTCTCCCTCTCTGTCTGAGCTCTGCTGTGCAGCTGGAAGAGGCTGGTACCATGTCATATTCAGGCACTTGCACTGCTGGCATTTAAAAAAAGAAAACATAATGAATGATTACAGAGCTGTATTAATTTGCGTCTTATATATCGGCCTGGAGTTCAGCTTAAGGTAGAACAGAATACAGGTATTTATGCGGTTCTATGCGGACTCAAGCAAAGGAAACCAAAACGATGATGAATACAGAAACTCTTAGGACTACGCAAACCGTAACACATTACCTCCCTTACAATGCAAACATTAAGCAGAGCCGGAACATCTTGCGGGATTCTTATGAGCAGCATCGCCGTCAATAAACGGAATCGCTGGGGAGCCGCTGTGATGCTAGAGAATATTTTTATTTGTGTCATTAATATTATGACAGGGAGACGCTCAGCTGCAGAATGTGAACATTTACATTCATTGTTTGTAATATCAACATGTGCAGGAAGGGAATTTACATAAGTAAATATGCATTATTTCACCAAATGGCTAAATGGATTAAAGGCAAACGGAATAATCTCTATTTTCCGAGAAGCACACACGCGCTCCCATAATTAATCAAGATTAATCTTCCATCTTCAGCGCTGTCACTGCAAAAAACTTTTTGGTGAAGAGAGATAGGAGATATTAAACGGCACCTGTTCTATGCAAGAGAGGAGGAGGATTTCTTTGCTGAATCTGCATTCATGAAACCAGCGACATGACAATGCAGCCTATCCGTTCACTAGAGACCGGTGACATCACTGAGAATGCAGCCTATCCGTTCACTAGAGACCGGTGACATCACTGAGAATGCAGCCTATCCGTTCACTAGAGACCGGTGACATCACTGAGAATGCAGCCTATCCGTTCACTAGAGACCGGTGACATCACTGAGAATGCAGCCTATCCGTTCACTAGAGACCGGTGACATCACTGAGAATGCAGCCTATCCGTTCACTAGAGACCGGTGACATCACTGAGAATGCAGCCTATCCGTTCACTAGAGACCGGTGACATCACTGAGAATGCAGCCTATCCGTTCACTAGAGACCGGTGACATCACTGAGAATGCAGCCTATCCGTTCACTAGAGACCGGTGACATCACTGAGAATGCAGCCTATCCGTTCACTAGAGACCGGTGACATCACTGAGAATGCAGCCTATCCGTTCACTAGAGACCGGTGACATCAATGAGAGTGCAGCCTATCCATTCACTAGAGACCGGTGACATCTGCCTATCCATTCACTAGAGAGCAGTGACATCACCGAGAATGCAGCCTATCCATTCACTAGAGACCAGTGACATCACTGAGAATGCAGCCTATCCATACACTAGAGACCGGTGACATCACTGAGAAAGGTTCCCTCCAAGCACAATAGACAGTTCAGATTTCTCCACATTCAAAATATAACCATCTCCTTGTCCTGCCTTACTACATCAGTTTATAGAAAATCTAAGAAGAAATTCAGTCCTCAGACGGGTTTTGGAAGGCCAAGAATAAAATAGAGATATTCCCCCCAGCTCCTGCTCCCTCCCAGCTTTTCCTCTAGCTGTTCGGTGACACATCTGCTTCCTCCTCTCCCGCCCCACACAGAAGAAAGTCCAAAGGAAGCAGCAGGAAGCGCAGCTGACAAGAATTCATTACCTGAGGATCTTTCACCTTGTGTAACATGCTAACATCATCATTTTCACTGTGCATATTTGCGGGGACACCATAAATTATCACCTTTCCCCGTTCCCGGTGATCACATTACCTCACACGGAAAATGAGGTAATGTGTATTTTTAGCAGAGCTCTGGAGCAGTGTTTACACAAGGGGATAACACTCTCATTGTCACTCGGTGGCGACCTGGAAGGTGAACGTGTACGGCTTGTGTTTGGTCTGCAGAGAAGACGAACACACCGCCAGCAAATAATACTTTGTCAACGTAGATCCAGGCTTTGTCTATAGGATGCAGTGCAGCAATGTAGACCCAGGCCTCGTCTATAGGATGCAGTGAAGCAACGTAGACCCAGGCCTCGTCTATAAGAAGCTGTGAAGCAAGGTAGACCCAGGCCTCGTCTATAAGAAGCTGTGAAGCAAGGTAGACCCAGGCCTCGTCTATAAGAAGCAGTGCAGCAATGTAGACCCAGGCCTCGTCTATAAGAAGCTGTGAAGCAAGGTAGACCCAGGCCTCGTCTATAAGAAGCTGTGAAGCAAGGTAGACCCAGGCCTCGTCTATAAGAAGCTGTGAAGCAACGTAGACCCAGGCCTCGTCTATAAAATGCAGTGAAGCAAGGTAGACCCAGGCCTCGTCTATAGGATGCAGTGAAGCAACGTAGACCCAGGCCTCGTCTATAGGATGCAGTGAAGCAAGGTAGACCCAGGCCTCGTCTATAAAATGCAGTGAAGCAAGGTAGACCCAGGCCTTGTCTATAGGATGCAGTGAAGCAACGTAGACCCAGGCCTCGTCTATAGGAAGCAGTGAAGCAAGGTAGACCCAGGCCTCGTCTATAAGAAGCAGTGAAGCAAGGTAGACCCAGGCCTCGTCTATAGGATGCAGTGAAGCAAGGTAGACCCAGGCCTCGTCTATAAGAAGCTGTGAAGCAAGGTAGACCCAGGCCTCGTCTATAGGATGCAGTGAAGCATGGTAGACCCAGGCCCCGTCTATAAGAAGCTGTGAAGCAAAGTAGACCCAGGCCTCGTCTATAAGATGCATTGAAGCAAGGTAGACCCAGGCCTCGTCTATAAGATGCAGTGAAGCAACGTAGACCCAGGCCTCGTCTATAGGAAGCTGTGAAGCAATGTAGACCCAGTCCTCGTCTATAGGATACAGTGAAGCAACGTAGACCCAGGCCTCGTCTATAGGATGCAGTGAAGCAATGTAGACCCAGGCCTCGTCTTTAAGATGCAGTGAAGCAAGGTAGACCCAGGCCTCGTCTTTAAGATGCAGTGAAGCAACGTAGACCAAGGCCTTGTCTATAAGAAGCTGTGAAGCAAGGTAGACCCAGGCGTTGTCTATAAGAAGCTGTGAAGCAAGGTAGACCCAGGCCTTGTCTATAAGAAGCTGTGAAGCAAGGTAGACCCAGGCCTCGTCTATAAGAAGCTGTGAAGCAAGGTAGACCCAGGCCTTGTCTATAAGAAGCTGTGAAGTAAGGTAGACCAAGGCCTTTTTTCTAAGAAGCAGTGGAGATCCAAAAGAAGAAAAACTGTATTCTAGCTGGTCCTCTAGGGCAGGCTTCAAATAGAAAAGTAACATCCATATATGTGGAATACCGGGCACATCCAAAATATGGGAGCCCTCTGGAGACGGACTGGGCAACTGGCTATCATACACAGAGCAGACTAAATGGCCAGTTACCACTAACCGACTACGGAGGGTTAATAAACCCTCTGTGCCAAAATTCATATATTAAAGTAGACACGATCACTTACATTGCTTGAAGCCTTTCATGCTTTGCAATCACCCACTGGGGTTTCTGCTTTAAGGGTGGCTACGTTGTGATGGAGGGTCTCATGGAGCCACCCTTATGAGCGTGCTCCCAGCTGAGACTACAGCAGGACATTGTGAGTGACACCTACAGGCTGCTCTGAATCCCTTGACTGCTAGTCACTCCCCTGCTCTACCTCCTCAGGATTTGACTGACAGTGGTTTAACCTCTCACCACAAGCCCTGATGAAGGGTTAGCTCCCTGGCTCCAAACTACTTTGGCTTTGTGATCAAGTATTTTATGTCACCTTGGAATAAATATATATATATGGGTTTAATCTCAGACTTTCTCGGTTACAAACCAAGGACATAGTGGAAACTCTTTGGAGTGGAAAAACTGCCAGTGGCAAGAATTCAGACATCCCAATCAAATATCCCAACACTCCCTACAACTACAACTTCAATTGTTCACCATTGCCAGTAAGGTGGACTAGTGATCCAGCTGGCATGATTGCCTTGTTGTTGGCATCACAAGACACCTGCACATACCTTCTATTTCCTATAAAAGTTACTTTCAGTCATTATTGGGTCCTCATTAAAGGAGAACTATGAGGTGAGTGCTTACTACTCACCTCATAGTTCTAGCCGACCTGTGACAATGAGACGGTTACAGGTCGGCTCAGTAGATCGGGAGGTGAGCGAACACATACCGGCGTTCGCTCACCTCTCGATCCTGTCACGGCTCTCTGCCGTGACAGGGGAGGGGCTGGATTCCCCCCTTCCTGCTCCGATCCGCCAGCGCTGACTGGCGGAACGGACGGGGCAGGTACAGCTGGCATTGCCTTTAGATAGGCAGAGCCAGCAGTCAGTTACGCAGCTGGGCGGATCCCGGCACAATTGTCGGGATCTGCTTCAGCTGCGGCGTCTCAGTATACCGTGAGCTACAGCTCGCGGTATACTGAGCCTAGGGTGACGGGAGGACGCTAGTTTGTGTCCTCCCGTTACCCTAAGGAGAACTATGGGAAAAAGACTTAACCCCATAGATCTCCTTTAAGCCTGAGTGCCACCTTCACTAGGCTTGAGAACCTGGATATGTACAACTTTCTGGGCTCAATGTGGTGTCTGAAGATCCTAGGTAGAATAACATCATGACAATGACCAATGACATCATCTCGGTCTGGCCTGGGAAGGCAAAACCCCCCCATAGAAGAACTATAGGGCCTTAACAGTGCAAAACACATCTACCAAAGTAGGAATGTTGAGAATATAGTGTCCATGGGGTATTTGGTGTGTACAAAATTCTGGACTTCTCAGAAATTCTATACCACAGAAAAGTCAACTATGGGGGTGAAATGTAATTACTTAATTACTTTTTATGTAAAACGTTCTAGATGAAGCCTGTTACAGGTCACCCAAAATCCATATTTTACTTTTGGCCGATGCTGGAGAGTAAGAGCATCTAATGCTTTCTTGCTTGGGTTCCCTGGTGTGATTGCTGTAGAAATCAGAACTGGGTCTCACTTTTCTTGTTGGTTCTTTTATTTATTTAAATTATGCAACACGGGGTGTGGGAACACTACCCAAGGTTAACAAAAACTCCCCCCAAAAAGGTGGGTGACAACTGAGCTGGGATCTATGGCAGAGAAATCTCAACACTGCACCCCACAGGGGGAATAGGAAGACATGGAGAAACTGCCCACCAGCCTCCACCAACTGCATAAATGAATAGTTTATGGGTGGTCTGACCTTTAAAAGGGACTATCACATGGAGAATCATGGAGGTTGTCAATGCTGAACTAGCAAGTTAGCGAGCTGTCAGGCCGAAGCTTTGGATTCAACGCTTTCCAAGTCACCAACCTGGAATAGGTTATAGAGAGAAGGAGCCCCCTGCTGCATATTTGAAACTCATGCTTGCGTTTGACCTGTGCCTCAAAAGTACTTAAAGCATATTTAACCCCAAGAACAAAATTAGAATATATTGCAGCTCATTAGTCCTTGCATGCAGCGGCTGCATTAGGTTTCTTTATTCAGCCTTTCAGCATTTTCCTCGAGAGGTCAGCAATGGCACAGCCTTTACTTCCCTCATGACAGCGTCCCTTTAAAAGGTTCCCTTGGATTTCACCGACTACTGAGTGGGAAAACATTGTGTTCACAGTCACAGCAGAGGCCAGCAAGATCTTCAAAATGCTACTGATGCCTCCGCTGCCTTTGTGATGACTGCCAGGGAGAGCAGCTTTATAAGATGTAGTCAGCACGCCCTTGCAATGCTTCAACAATGCTAATACTACTAATTGTTCTCGTGTCTTCGTACAGATCAGT